AGGATAAAATTGGAAATAAAATATCTTCCAAAATAACAAAATGTATTTCTTAGCACAATATTTTAGAAAGAGTATACTTCTCACCAAAAAAAAAAAATTTATGGGACCTAACACCTTACACTGTCTTTAAAATGGACTTTTCACCAAATTTCTCAATAAACAAACGGTTTAAAATCAAATTAAATTAAAACATTAGGATTTGAATTGACAAAACTAAAAATTCAAAATTTATTTTGTTATAAGGGTCAAATTCTAAATTTCTTTTATCTATAATTTTTCCATATATATATATATATATTTTCTGAAATTGAATGACTTCTCACCAATCCGCTAAAAGTTATTGAAATAACAAAAAATTTAGGAAAAATTTACCTATAAATCTCATCTCGGGGAATGGTGACCTGTTTAGTTCCAAGAATTTTGTTATAACCAATTAGTCCCATTAATTTTGAAAAAGGAGATTTAATATATTATTTGAAATTGGGTTTATGGTTATATTTTATACCTTTATTTCTATTATGTTTATTTCTTTTCTTTTCTTTTTTTTTTTTTTTTTTTTTTTTTGTGGTAGAAAGGTAAGATACACAACCTATGGAAATCAAATTTTGAATGAATTTTTATATGGGAATCTTTTTTATTATTATTATTTAGAATGACTTGAAACATGAGATTCTTCAAACATTAGAAAATGAGTACAAAAATGACTTAAAATATAAGATTATTCAAACATTCTAAAATGATATGGGATTTTTCAAACATTTCAAAAGGAGTAAAAAAACTCCTTAGTAAGCTTTGGGTAAATGTATAATTTTAAATTGTAACACTCAAACGTAATACTCTAAAAAAAAACTTCTTAATGTATTTTTTTTTCCAAATGTAATACTCCAATGTAACATTAAAAAAAACTCTTCAGTGTAACACTCCAATGTAACATATAACAAAAAAAAAAATTAGTGTACTTTTTCCAAAATTAACACTCCAAAAAAATTCTTTAGTATAAAACTCCAATGTAACACAATATATATATATATATATATATAGTGTAACACTCCAATGTACACACAAAAAAACTCCTTAATTTATGTGGGATTCTTCAAACCATTCTAAATGGAATACATAAATTCCTTAGTAAATTTTGAGCAAATGTATAATTTCAAACTGTGAGTGTTACGTTTAGAAAAAGTATACTAAGAAATTTTTTTCGTATTTTTGTATTTGTTACATTTGAGTGTTATGTGTTACATTGGAGTGTTATGTTTGGAAAAAGTACACTAAATAATTTTTTTAGAATATTACGTTGTTACGTTTGAGAAAAATACATTAAGAAATTTTTTTAGTGTATTACATTGGAATGTTACGTTGTTAGAGTGTTACATTCTTGTTCATCATTTGGGATTTGTTACATAATGAGGAAAAATCCAAAGGGTAAACTATCAATAGGTTCTAATAGTTGGACTTAATTTCCATTAAGTCCCCTTGGAAATAAATCTTGGTAAAATTGTCGCTAAAAATAAATTTTTTTGTGACAATTTTTTATATATGTCGCTAAATATTAACAATTAGTTACTTTTTTTGTCATGATTTTTATAAATTGTCGCTAAAACTTACAATTAGTGACTTTTTTATGACAAATTTTTTCTATAGGACCTATTAGACAATAAGTCCACTTATTAAGACCTACATGTAAGTACCCCAAATCCAAAATATTTATAGTGCGGATTGTTTAAATGTGTAATTTCACATTTGGAGAAACTCACTTTTATCCCTAAAATATTAAATCAAAATGTGCAAATGGCTACCTTTTTGTGTAATTTTCACTTTAATGGCACCTTTAGATTCATAAGGAAAAAAAAAAAAAAAAAGCTAAATAGTTCATAAGATCATATTTTAAGATTTATTAGTATTTCACCCAAACTTTAGATCAATATATTGGTAAAAAAGGGTATTGAAATAGGCATAAGTATGAAAATATATGAAACATGTATTAATATTTTGATTTTGATTTTAATTTTCTTTTAAAATATTTATTTCCTTCTAAATAAAATGTTCATCGGGTGTGGCTTGACTATTAGCGGCAAAGAAAGAGAAAGAGAAAGAAAAGAAAAAAAAAAAAAAAGAGGGAGAGAAAGAAAAAATATATATATATATTTTAGTAAGAAATATTTCAAAATTACAAAAAAAGAAAAGGTTGTTTTGAGGAGCATCTATTTACATACACTACTCTCTCTCTATACACATTTTTCACACATAACTTTCCAACACACTCTCTTATTAAGTGTGTAGGAAGAGGGGATATGGTGTGTGCAAATAGAAGCTCCCGTTGTTTTTAAAAAAGAGTGCTGCTATTAGCACTTGCCAAAATTCTTTGGACCCCCCATTTTATAATTTTTTTTATTACAATTATACCCTAAAGTAAAATTACATTAAAAGACATTATAAAATAGAACACCCACCTATCAATAATAACTAATACTCTATAATATTGGACACTCACCCACACCCACCTCTAACTCCAACTATACGTATTCCATGTTTGTAAACCCTAAACCTATTACTTTTCATAACCAATTAACATAAACTCTAAATCTATTATTTTTCATAATCATCTTAAATCATGAATGTGTCATCTTCATCACCATCATTAACGCTATTGAACTTGAAAGTTTTGCTTCAAGTATAACGTATACTTCATCACTTATTTCACTGTGTAGAGCAATGAAAGACGAGGACAACATTCTCGGTCGTTTATCTATCTTGTATTAACATTCTCGGTCGTTTTCGGTCGTTCTTGTTTCGTTCGAGCTGTTCGGTACTAGTTTGTTGACTGTTACAATTATGTTTGGTAACACAGTACTGAACATAATCCTTTCGTTCAATACATAAGTTCCGAACATTAATGCAGATAGTCAGTTATGTAATTTCGTTGTTAAACTAACTTAGAATGAAAAAGAGCGAATTAGAATGAATTTAAGTTATGTATTTTGAATGGATTTAATTCATGTTATTTTAAGTTGTGAATTAGAATGGCTTCAAGTTACACAGTGATGAACAAATTTTGTTCGGACATACAGTGCTGACAGGATCATTATTGTTCGACAAAACAGTTCTGAACAAAATACATTTTTTTGGCTACGCAGTGGTGAACAAATTGGGTGGGTGTGCTTTTCATTGTGAAAATATGGAGATTAGTTTTCTATTCTGAAAATATTATGGAAATATTATGGAGATTAGTTTTCCATATATATATATTGTTTTCTATTCCTACAATCCGCATCAATCTTCACTTTCTCATCTAAATTTCCCAATCAATGGCAAATTCCAAAGAGACCCACGTCATCGAAATCGTAATCGACGAAGAACAACAACCCCACAAGTAAATGTATTGTGTTTTCAGGAACCACTTTTTAGATGTGGTTAATGTTGGAGAGAGAAGAGAGAGAAAAAATTAGGGTTTTGAAGGGGTTTTGAGGGGGAGAGAGAGAGCAAAGAGAGAGAAGAGAGAGAAAAATCTTCACTTTCTCATATGAACAAAAGGGATTTTGAGAGAGTGAGAGAAAAGAGAGAGAAGAGACATCACTGATGAGGAGAGAGAGAGAGACAGAAGAGAGGGAATTGAAATGGATTAGGTGGGTGTGCATTTTATTGTGAATTGGGTAGATTTGGTAATAAATAGATGTTCAAAAAAATATTATTAAAATTTAGGATTTAGGGTTAGGGTCCAAAAAAATAAGGGGTCTAAAGAATTTTAATAGGTGCTAATAGCAGCACTCTTAAAAAAAACAAAAACCAAATTTTGTAAGGACAGAATTACCCTTCCCATAAACTCATCCTCCCCTTCTCTCTAAAGGGTTCATAAAGGTAGTTTGGAAGACAGTAATCTATGCGCTCTAACCTTTCTTGGGTTGTGTTCTAGGTTAAAAATTTGATTGGTAATTGCATTAATCGATTGAAATGCATTGAATCTGAGCATTTATGATTGATTTTTGAGGCCTGGTGTTGCGTTTGCGATGATTTCAAAATGGGTTATTCTCTAATTGCAATTGTTTGTTGTTATGGTTGGTTTTAGGGTTTGAATTAATACTCTTTGTAAAGCCTGTGAATTTGTGAATGATTGCAAATTTATTGTTGCTGATGAATATGTGAGTTTAAGTATGCATGCACCATGTTTACTTGTTATTTGATGGAATGTCTCAATGGAATACTTTTGTTTTCCTCTCTTTTTTCCTTCTCTCAAGCTATATGAAGTGGGACAGTGTTGGGTTTTTTCTCCTCTCTTTGTTCCTTCTCTGAAACAGGATTTTGTTGCTGTATTGTACATTAGAAGTGCTATTTGCGTTCCGTGTTTATTTTTTTTGGTCCATATGTGTATGCTAAAGATTGACATGATCATATAAATTCTGAAGCTTCTTACCTGTAAGCAATTCATAGAGCTAGTTGAGAAAGTTTCTACCATTTATATGATCGATTTGAAGTTCCGTTGTAGTCTAGTTGGTCAGGATATTCGGCTCTCACCCAAAAGACCCGGGTTCAAGCCCCGGCAACGGAAATGTGTTTTTTATTATTGGGGTTAGTTTTGGGAAAAATTGAATTTTTTTTGGTTTGGTGTAAAAATGAAAAAAAATCAAAATGTATATGACCGATTGAAATTACATGCCTGGAAAAGTTCCGCTCCTTATAAAATCTTTAACCATATTGATGACTGCCATAATCCCCAAGTCCAAAATCCAAAAGTCTGCTATAGTGTCTAAGATAAGGTGTTAAAGGAGTTCACATGCGAATTGGTGTATGATAATAAAGAATTTAACTGACCCAAAAAAAGATGAAGAACTTATGGTAGTAACTGAACTTCCAGTTTCTAGGCCCGGAAGTGTCTCAAATAAAGCAGGAAAGTTCATTTTCTTTCTGATTGTGCGTGATTTGTTTTACATGTTCAAGTGACACAACCTTATTGTAGTAGACTATTGATCATATTCTTCACATACAGTATATAGCAGATGATATTTGAAGTAGACAGTATTTACACAAAGCTTGAATCACAGTACAGTAAAAGCAAGAAACTAAGAAAGTGCACAACTATATTGCTTACACAATGCCACTCATTTTAGACATCATCAGTAGTCTGCACTGGCTTTTTGTATGTATACCACTTTGCCACCAAGATAAAAACTCCTAAATTGAGCACGCTCAGTACAGCCAAGAGCCAAAAGAAGTAGTCAAGGTGACCATAGTTCAAATTGTCCGGTATCCATCCAGGATTCCCATTCTTAGCACTAATTGAGACAACAATAGTTACTAGTAGTGAGCTCAAGTAGCTTCCTAGTGCATTAGTGGCGAGTGAGAGAGCAGAGCACAAACTTCTCATGGCATCAGGTGCTTCCTCGTAGAAGAATTCCAACTGTCCAATGAAGGTGAAAACCTCTGCACACCCAACAAGGAAGTACTGTGGAACCTGCCAAAATATGGACATGGGCATCTCAGTACGGTCATAGTAGTCATGCCTTCTTACAATTCCAAGTCTAACAAGCTCCAATATCCCTGCAGCTAGCATGGACAAGATGGATATGAAGAGCCCAATGCCCATTCGCTGGAGTTGAGTCAATCCACTTTTGTGACCGGTGAATCTTCTGGCAACAGGGACAATGATTTGATCATAAACTGGGACCCAGAAAATGACACTGAAGATGTCGAAAATACCAAGTGATGGTGGTGGGATCCTGAAGTTAGTGTTGCCAACACGAGTATCCATTCTCTCACCTTGCAACGAAAAAAAATTGCTCATTTGGTTATATACAGCAGAGAAGATGATACCAGTTGCAAATATTGGAAGCAATCGCACAATGCCTTTCAGCTCCTCAACTTGGGTCACTGAGCATAGTCTCCATGGGTTTATTGAGCCCCCCTTATGATCTGATTGTTTCTGCACAGCTGCCTTATCCAAGAAACTGCATTTAACAACATTGGGTGAGAGGTTACATTCATGGTATTCAAAATGAGTTCTATAATTTGCATGCTTGCTCCAAATATAAAATTTCTCAAACCAAACAATGATAATATTTCAAATTGTTATCATCATCTTTGCAAGAAGTTAACTTCAATCTTAAATTTCAATTCCATATATTACTCATGCCATGATGAACTATGATATAACTATTGATTAAAATAACTTTTCTGGATGATACAGATTACTGGATGCCCTCTAATTAGGCAGATCAATCACTTATAGAGTATTAAATGAATGCTAAATGAAAACCTTGTTAAAATAAACAGAGGAACCATTTTTCACGTCCTTGCATTTTGACTGAAAACAGCAAGCCAAACTCATCAATTCCGATGCTCACCTAAAATCTTTGGTGTGATCAATCTTGCGGCTTCCTTTGATAGCAGATTCGGTATCAGCAGTCTCATACAAAAGAGTCTTATCTGCTGGAACTCTAACCCTATATTTCTTCACAGAAGCTACTAGCACCTGACAGATTCTTGTCAGAGGGCTACCTCCGGGCTTCTGGTTCCGATACAGGCGAGTACCAGAAAAGAAACTTGCTACTGCAATTGCCATGGCCACAGCTGGGATTCCAAAACCCCATCCCCAACCCACATTGTCTTGTACCCAAACCAGCACAGACGTGGCAACAAGTGCACCGACATTGATTGAAAAATAGAACCAATTGAAGAAAGAGCTCTTTTGTTTCTTCTCGGTTTCATCAGCATCATCAAACTGATCTGCTCCATAGGTTGAGACACAAGGCTTAATCCCTCCAGTTCCGAGTGCTATCAGGTAAAGGGCTATGAAGCAGACTGCACTCTGTGTATGTGTTGGGTTGCAATCATCTTTTGCATAACAGAATGGCTTTATGCCGGGCACCGATGCTGACAATGTCAACAGGGTCATTCCCTACATGGAATTGAGATATTTCAGTGTGCACAATGCAAGGTTTTGGAAACATTCATTTGTTTCACTTAATTTTTCTGTTGATGTGTTCATAATCATTCTACCATGCTTTTGAGTCTTTGCAAGTGTGTTATTACGTCTACAATGTTTTAAAACCATTTTATTGCTTGATTTTCAAACTATTTTGTTGCAGATGAAATTCAACAAACCGGACTTACAATGACATAGATGATTGAGAAGACTGCAATAGTCCAGTATCTTCCTAGATAGGCATCAGCAAGAAATGCTCCGATGAGCGGTGTGATGTAGCATGTACCAGACCAATCTGATTGATTCTTAGCAGCAGTTGCACTCTGCTGGTTGAGTTGATGCTTGAAATAAAGCACCAAGTTGGAGCTCATTCCATAGTATGCCAATCTTTCGCAGCATTCATTCCCTGCAGGTAATTCAATAAATTATCACAACAATCAAGTTCTGCTAACATGAATAACCAATGTAAACATAAATATATATACCTAGGATGTAGGGGCAAGCCTTCCAAGTTCCTGTTTTCTTCTTATTGGCAGGGTTACCGTGGAAATCTACTGTCCCGTTCTTTGTATAGTTATCTTCTTCTTCCACCATGGCTTTTTCACCAACTGTGTATGCTTGATTTGCAATTGTCTATGTTTTGAGATATACTCAAAACACTAAATAAGTGGAGCTCAAAAGGTGAACTAGAACTGCAATATATAGAGAACAATTGGGGGTGAAATTTTTTTCATGAAGATGAGAATGTGCAATGTTAAACAACTACCATTTGGAGCAAGATAAGGCAACATAAGCCAATTCATTGGCTGTATGTAAAGTTAGACCATTAGACCACACCAAGATAAGATAAGAGCTTTGAAAAAGTACAGAGTCCAATATGGGCTAGTTTGGTTATGCTTTTTTTTTTTGATTTCTGAAATATTTTTCGAATAAACACAAAAAACACTCATACGTTTGGTGAATTACTATTTGAAAAACTGTTTTTGGACAAATTTTTTGAAACTTCCCAAATTTTATGAAACACCAAAAAGTTGTTTTTAAATTTTTTGAAAACTATTTTCACACATAAATGAAAACAATATGAAATTGATGGGTTTTTTTTTTTTAACTTAATTTTTTTTTTATTTTAAACATAAAAAAAATTCATTATTTTTGTTTTCATCCCCATTCTTCTTGTCTTTTCCCTTTGTGAACTTTATATATAGCTTCAATCACATCCCATCTATCCAAGAAACACAACATTAGAGGTAAAGGAATCGAACTATGTGAAGTGTCCTCACTATCACCTCAAAGGCTTGAAATTGGCGAAGTCCTCACGAATTTTTATACATAAATGCAAAAAAATTATATAGAATTTTTATAGAAAATGGTATGATTGATTTGAATTCTATCATTATAAAACATCTTGTAACATAAATAAAATATTGCATGTCATAAGATCCCTGTCAGTGGACCTAACCCATCTCATGCATAACCAAATATTTTCAGACAGTAATTGTGTATAAAATATAAAAAATAATTTTGTTCATATTGCCATTGCCGGCGGATATGTTGTGACACCATATTTGACATATGATTTCTTGGACTTAGAATCTGTTTGTTGTGGTTAGTATTTTTGTTGTTATTGCTTGGAACTAATAAGGATGGTAGTGAAAGGATGATCACTAATGAGATTTGGTTCACACCCATAATTTAATCCCTGGTTTTGGTATTGAAATGTTTGTCTTTTTGGTTGGTGTTTCTTGCTTATGGTATCAACCTTGTCACTTACTATTTTTCTTTGTTTAAGTCTCTTTCTTGCTCCCAACATTTTCCATGTACAATTATTGACATGTTGTCGATGGTCTTGGAAAGAATGAGGTATGATAAAAAAAAAAACCACCACCTGAATAAAGTTTCATAAGCTAGATGAAGAAAAATGAATGAATAAGTCAACGAATACAGAAATCGATCAGAAACTAGACACATAATGTATGTGGACAGACAAAATTTTTCATAAGTGAGCTCTACCAACAAATCTGGTAAAATCCTTTCAATTCATGTGAATTATGTGTTCATTTTTGTGTCTTGTTTTGTTTTTCGTTGGTGGAAAAACCAATAGTCTTCACTAACAACATTCAGACAATTTCTCATGAAGCCAGTAATGCATAAAATTCATGTATATGAACAATGAACTCATCAGTTGAGTGTTGACAATGGAGAAATCAAATAAGAGTTCATGACAATAGCATTGCCAAGTATTACAGCACATAAATCATAATTCTCACCTGATTAATGGTACTCAATAAAACTCATCACAATGCAGGTGTGGCACAAATCTGAAGATGGAAATTTGATCAAACAGATGATGATGATGATGATGATGATGATGGCTTCATTAAAAACTCCGAGGATGTTTCAAAGTGTTTCAACAGACATTTATGCTATATGTATGATGCCAACAGCTAAGGATGGAGAAACCTCTGCTAGTTCGGCAAGAGGTGCGTTAGTTCAAGGAGCATCCTTAATTTCCCCTCCTGTTTTTAAATGATTTTTTGTTCTTCTTCTGTGTGTTGAGACCTGCTATCTCATATAAGCATGCAATCTAGTTAGCCTAGCATATTTAATATATGTTTTGATGTTGGGTATAATTAATAAATTTTAAGTCCTAATTTGAATAATGAAAAACCTATCTCATTTTACATGTTGCGTGCCGTTGCCGTATATATATATTGACCTCCATTTTGTTTTTATTTTCCTTAATCTTATTATACTTTACTTTCTTTTGGGGGTGGAGGAATGGAAGGAGGGATACTCCTGTTTTTGTCCCGATTCAAGTTTGACCAAATTTGTTGATAATTTTGCAAACTTAATTTTGCAATCAAAGTCCATCAACATCTGAGCTTGACAAAAAATGGATCACTTTACTGACTGAAGTAGGCAAATGGCTTCTAAAATAAACAATAACTGTAGGTTCAACTATTTCTTTAATATATATATTATCTTTGGCAAATAATCCTAAGCATTTCCTAATGCTTTGTTTGGATCATAGATATAACAAGGGAAAGGAAAATAAATAAATAAATTTAGTTTCCTTAATTTGTTTCATTTTCTTCTTGTCTTTTATATTTTCATCTTCTTCCACAACAACAAACCTTTTTTTTTTTTTTTTTTTCTTTGAGGAAAGTATAAGATGCATCATAATATTAACGAAAGCATAAGAATGAGTACAACATCACAATCCAACATTACAACCAAGGTTTAAAACAAACCTTAGAAGGCATGAACCTGAGGTTCCAATCACATCTCTGTGGAATTACCGGCACGGTACTCATGTTTTTTTGTTATTATGATTTATGTTTTTCTAATCACACATTGACTGTGTTTATTAATTAGTCTTTCTTCGCCGGTCTCTTTTGACACAACTTGGAAACTCCGAAATTAACTTAATTTTGGAATACAGAATTTAATTTATAGCCATGTATATTATTAATAGAAAAGCTATTTAGATCTTCAGTGATGCCCCTTTTGTTTTTATCAATCTTTGCTTGTTACTAGCTTGTGCATTGCCGCCGTGTTTGTTGGTAAGTGCTCTTTGCAAAGGTACAAACTAAACTAGCAGAGCCTTGCTGATATGTCCAATACTCATTTTGGCCCTAGACAGTTGATTTGTTTTGGTGGACCTTATTGTAAGTTAAAATTGATAATAAAAAAGTAATCACATTTTTTTGATTTATTGAAATTATTTCTGCTTAATAAACTATAAACAGAAATTATATTAAAATATTCTAATAGAGACTTTCAAACTAAAATAAAATATAAGTAGTTTATTTATGTGGTAACAAACACTCCCAATGAAACAGATGAAAGCTATACAAGGTTAGGTTTGACATCTCCTAAAAAATTCAAAAAGTCACTATCCTATTTAAGTTACATCATCTTATTTAAGTCATATCACCTCTCTACCACATCACTTCAAACTCAACTCATCTTTCATAAAAAATTTAAAAAATACATTCATTTAGAACATTCTAAATAACCTCTTAAATATCACATTTTGTACTAACCCAACGGTTGGCACGACTTGATGATTTGACTTAAATTAAATTTCCAAGCCGGCTCAAAAACAAATAATATAATTCCAAACTTGCCTATGTAACCCTTTAGTCTATAAAAATTAATATATTTGTATGGCAACTCAAATATGAAATATTGATATTTTTTAAATGAAAAGAAGTTAAGAGGTCACTTTTTTTTAAATGAATTTATTTATAAATTATTTTTCAACTATGACAACAAAAAAAATTTCTTTTTATAAAATATATGAAAACATCAATATATACGAAGTGATTAAATCGTGAGCTCTCTAGTTACTAGGACTGCAAACAAGTCGAACCGAATTGAAATTTAGTATGTTTGAGTTTATTTATTAAGATTTTAATGAGTTCAAACTCAAATTCAAACTCAATAAAAATTTAATGAATCGAGCTGCAGTCGAGTTGAGTTGACTTAGGTTTAACTCGAGCTTGAACTTATTCACGAGCCTTAACAAGTCAAAAAAATTATAAATTCATACTTGCGTATGAAATTAAAATTACAATTAAAATTTTGATTATAATATATATATATATATATAAACGTAACTATTAGATAGAATGTATTATCTATAGTTAGCTATTATTTACATTTATATTTTTTTAATATATAAATAATATATTTATCTTTTTTTTATATATATTTTTATATTATTTAATATATAAATAATAAATATTAAACAAGCCAATTAACAAGCTAAACTTTAGTATGTCTGTACTTGTTTATCAAAATTTTAACAAGCTCGAGTTTAAAAAAAATTCAACAAATTGAATTCGACTGAGTTCTTACCAAATCGAGTTCAAACCTGTTCGTAAATAGTTCTGTGTATTTGTAACCCTACCACCAGCCGCACATTCCAATAAATTCAAATTTCAATAGCAGGTAAATAAACTGGGCTTGGTTGGGCTACTTTCTTTTGAAACCTGTTCACAATTATAAATGGGCCTAAAATACTATCCAGCGCAATTTGATGGATCTACAATGCAATCCTAAAGCCTAGACGAACTTTGTGCCGATATGATAGGACTTGATTGATAATATCCAACATTTTAAAATTTTAAATTTAATTTAATTTTTTTTAACATAATGGTTGTGAGAGAATATGCAGTACAGTGTTATTGTTGAGCAATAAATAAATAATTGAAAATTTTGACAAGGACAATCGTTGTGCCCGTGATAGCGTACATGCACGCGCGCACATGAGTTGATGAACACGCTTATCGACGTGGCCTCCACTCAGAGGCTCGGATTCTGACTAAACAAACTGGAAAACAAATTTGCTGCTGCAACTTCGCTCTCGTTTAGGAACATTCATTCTGTTTTATTTTAATTTTTAGAATTTAATTTTTAAATTTTTTTTTTATTATTTTTCATATTTTTTTTATTTTTACTGAATTTTTTAAATATTTTTAATATTTTAAAATTTTTAGACATACTTAGCATAAATACACTTATAAAGTATAATATTTGTAAAATAATTCTTTAAAAAATTCATTAAATACCAAAAATATAAAAATTTAGTACATTTTTAGTATTTTTATGTATTTATTAATTTTTTAAAATATTTTTTCACAAATAGTTTACTATTTAGATATATCTAAGCAAGGTGCATTTAAACAAGTAAAAAAATTGTTTAAAATTTTAAAAATATTTACTAAAAATAAAAAACACAAAAAAATAAAAAAAAACTCAATTTTCAGAAAATTAAAACCAAGCACACTGATTATTTTTTAGTCTAAAAAAAAGTTATTAAAAAAGTCAAAAAGTTAACAAATTATACAAAAAACTAAGATTTTCTATTCTCTTTATTTTTTTACACATCTTTTCATAAAAAAATCAAAAATTTATTCTAAACATACTAATTTTTTTTATCTCATATTTTAACAAAAAAAATTAAAAAGTTATTAAAATAGTTTGTTTCCAAATGTGATCTTGGTATAAATCTTTTAAATTAATTTTTGATGTGTTGTTTGTCTAAGATTTAAATAGGATAAAGTATTTTAATATTTTTAACATTAAATCCCAATCATGTAACTTGTCTCTCTACAAAAAATTATTATGGAGGATCCATGGGTATCATTGATGTAGTTGTTATTTATAGTTTATGATGTTTTTAAAAAAAAAATTAAAGATTTTGAACACACAGCGGGACCACAAATCCCTCACAAAAATTTAAGGCTGTGTTTAGATAATTGATTATGGTAAAAATTTAAGGAGGAAGAAAAAAAAAAGAGGAAATGTGAATGGAAGATAAGTTAAACTTTTACTAACATTTTTCTTTATCTTTTTAAATATCTATCTTATTTTATGATCCAAACATAACTTAAAGAAATTGAAAAAAATAAATATGTTGAAATTAATAAATGAATATATTTTTAACTTTGATTTTTTTATATTAATTTTTTAATTGAGAAAAGATGCACCAAACAAGCTTAAAAAAATGTACATGAATAGATAAAAAAAATCTAGAAATTAGTGCTAATAAATCTTATAAAATTTCATCCATTTATATATATTTTATATTGTGTTTAACTTTTGTAATTAAAATACTAGAGGCCAACCTGTGTTATGCATGATATTGTTTAAAATAAAATAAAAAAATATTTGACATTCCCAAAAAAATTTCACATTATTGTGGATGAATTTATGGATTCAAAAGTGTGGATCTTTGACATTTAAAAAAAAAAATTAAGGCAAAAATTTTGAATTTGAATAATTGTCTTCTAAGCGATTTATTTATTTTAAATCTAATTTTAGGCTTCGTTTGGGAACATGCTTTTTTAGTAACTTTTTAACTTTTTGGCTAAAATGTGATGTAAAAAAAACTAGCATATGTTTGGGATGACTTTTTGACTTTTTACAAAAAGATGTGTAAAAAATAGAGAAAAAATAGAATCTTTGACTTTTTTGTATGAGTTGTTGATTTTTTTATTTTTTTAGCTTTTTGTCTAAAAAAGTCACTTGTCAAACGAGACCTAGTATGACATAAATGACTCAAAAGGTTTATGTGCATGTTACATTTAGTTATATATTAAGGTTTAAGTTATTTGAAATATATAAAAATAGAATTTATTTTTTACTATGTAAATTAAATTAAGAAAAAAATTAGATATTTTGTTTGATTGAATTATAAATTTATTAAAATTTTACCACATGCATAGATTAATAATTTTTTCCTTACGGAGTTTTTTTTACTGACTTCATTATTGTGCTCTTTATTGTGTTGATAATTTCACCTCCATCATGAGACTCTTTGGTAGGGTCATTATTGGACTTCAATATAATTAGATTATGTTTATGCGAATGTAAATAATCTCTATATTTGTAATTATTTGTTAAGAAAAATTATCCCAAAATTTTGATTAGTGTACAACATTTTTCAAACAAAAAATAATATTTTAATAACAACAATGTCTAATCATATTATGTGGTTCTTTTGCTTCGGTTACAGATTAAAAATGAATGCTCTCAATTTAATCTATTTGAGATTTTTTTTTTTTTTCGGTCCCTTCCATATCTATAGTTATAGCCACACACACCCCAAAAATAAATAAATAAATAATCAATCACTAACACAAAGAATGGACTCACATGTACACACGTGTGTAT